TAAAACAAAGATTTTCCCCACGGTAGCTAACTGTGGTGTATGGTGGAGTGAGATCCACCATTTAAATATCGGTTGGGATGGGCCTATTTCCTATACACAGCGTGACTAATAGTATTATCAGGATTTTGGATGACTAAAACATCTCAAAATGCTAAAGAATTTTTCAACTCTTAACTCTATTATGAATTGTATTTTAGAGTTAACGTAGTCTAAAATGCAGTTAAGTTGTCCATCAAGTTTAATATCCTTTTACAAGATGCAGGAGTGTACAAGCTTGATATGGTTTATCTTACATTGGACAAACAGAAAGATCTATACAAGTGGTAAAATTTAAAATGTTGTAGAACCAACTTCAATATAAATAATATGAGAATATCATCAATGTAGTCGAAGCCAATTAAATGCGCATTATTAAGTATAACACAAAAACTACTGGTCAGATCTTGATCAAATTTATATGGGATCACATAAGAAGTATCAGCTTTGAAATAAAAAAGAATCAGCAAAATAGGTTCACCTGGAAATAGATCTGAGGTAACATACATAAAACAATACAGCTGAATTGAGCACCTCCCCCTATTTTGAAGACGGTTATAAAATCCGCGTAAAAGGAAATATAGCAGACGTAAAGCACCGTCGCTCCGTGAAGTCTGCAGTCTGTAAATATTTTCAAGGTCATCCCCGCATACCTACATTAGATTTGATAGACCACTAATACTCGCAAAAGAACACCAATTCCTACCAAAGATGGTTTACGAGGCTATTGAAATTAAAAAACATCCTAATTTCAATAGAGAAGATGGATGGGTGCTACCGTCTGCGTGGGATCCTATAATCAATTAAATTAAATTCAAGCCCAAACGTACCACTGCAAGACTTCTGATAAGACTGGGAATTAAAAAATTAAAATTAAACGCGATAAAATCCGTAAAATAAGTTTTATTAAACCCTAAGCTCAATAAGGCAGTTATTGCAATATTACAGACAAACATTTCAATTTGACTTATATGTAGATATAGATTACTTTCTACCTAATCGTATTAAAATACTATCGATATTAAATAGCTATATTAACATATTAGGTTTATTAGTCTCAATTATTCAGAGATAGCTAACCGTGCCTATATAACATTATTTAAAAAAGAACTTCCTGTTAAATAGGTCAAGTAAAACATTTGTTATCTTTAATCTCTTAAGACCTTTGAGACATATTTTTAAACGATTTTTACCTTGCACCTACTTTAACATACACAAGATGAAACTAAATATTATTTTACTTTTCACGTCAAAAGATAATGCGCTCTGGTAAAAGCCTGAAAAAGCTTTCCGGTGTTTCAGTACTTCACCTTTAAGTTGCTTTCTTATAAAAATAAAATGCGAAATATTACAACAACGAATGTCAATTTCAAGTGTTTTGTTTGCTCAGAAATATTTAATATAAAATTGTGCTTTTATTGTTTGCTCACTCAATCAGTACGTACAGGTTATATTACGTTAATAAAAAAAGTAGTAGTATCTTATTGCCACATAAAAAAAAACTGTCGCAGGCTAATAAAAACCACGATTAAGATTTTTATAGCTTAAGCCTTACTAGCCTTATAAATCCCACTATTGGGCACGGCAATCTTATTTCTGAGTGTCGTGTAACATTAACCTCTTAATATATAATTACAATGACTATAAAAATAATTAAGGGATGATGAAGTCTAGTGAAAACTGTGAAGTAATAAATTCATTTAATTGGAGAGGTTTTGTATCAATCCAATAATTTAAAAACTGCTAGTCAAAATCTTGTTTACTTCATGTTCCACATGTGTATGAAATTAATTTCACCATTGCCGACGCCATCATAAATTTAATTACGTGCAAGTTCACCTCGTTTTATCATAAAAATTAATAAGGTATGTAAGATAGAGGTAGGTAAGATAAAACGTATTGGACTATAAAAAATATTGTGAAACAACAATCATATTATTATCCATGTTATGAAATACATTACAAAATACTAAGGTCTAATACACAAGCAAATAATCTTTAGTGAAATAATATTTTTTTAAGTCATCTGTCTATATTAAATATAAATCAATTGCGTGAATTTTTGAGTGGGTATTGAGTGGGTCCCTGGATGGTTTAGAATTATAATTGCACTGTAGTCGTGGGGTGCTGTATTCGAGATCCTGATATCACCATAAATTTTTACATAATTATGACTTTTTTGGCAAATTTTTTTGTAAAGGATAGATAATATGTTTTAAATGGTTTAGGAATACGTTAAGCAAAGTAAGCAGAAAATATATTTGTGTTAATATAAAACAATTATTATATAATAGAACAGACTAACTATCTAGATTATTTTTCGTTTTGAAAGAGTTATATTTTAATGTATTTCAGCTAAGATGTTGAAATATTATTTTACATACGTACTTTACATATTTTATATACGTATATTATTGGATTACATTGTATAACTCAATGCTAGCGATTTCGAGCCAATATCTTAAGTATCCGCCAAGAGTGTTACCTCAGCCCCCATGTGTATATTTGCAATTCAAATGCCACACTTAGTGGTGCTTAAATGCTGCATAGAATGCAGATCTTCATCCAAACTCCTTATGAATTTCCTGAATATAGCGCAAGCCTAAAACATTTTTTTTATAAATGAAGCTTTAAAGCGTAAACATAAAACTTTTCATAAAAAATATTTAATTTTCGAGATGTGTATCCAAATGTGTATCTAAATGTGGTGTGAAAATTCGCGTATAAAAATATTTCTAACATCATTTTAGTATTTAAAAATAAATAAATGACCATTTATTTTGTACTAAGCTACATTAAAAGTTACACAGCCTTTCAGGTAATTTAAAAGATATCTTGGCCAGCCAGTTGGTGGCCAAGATTTCTTTTAAATCACCTCACCGCTTTTGATAAAGTATTTTAAACAAAAACAAAATAAATTTTTAATTTTAAGAAAAACGATTAAAAATATAAAATTATTCTACAAATAATAAATATTAGTTCTGAATGTAGCATACGTTTTTTTGCGTTCTGAAATTAAGACGAAATACAGCAGAATCAAAAAAGATGCAATAATAATAAATATTTCGCCACTTCTAAACAAAATATTTACTTATGGCGTATTTATTTTTCTAGTAAAGTTATCACTAACAGATTATTTTATGTCTGGGTTACCCTCGACTAAACTACGGGTATACCATTTTCATAGTTCTACCTTTTTTTCTCATAAATCCGCAATTCTTCTGCTTTGGGGCTCTCTCTTAATATAGAGAGAAATTGTCTTAATTTTCACGCCCGGCAGTTGCTTTGACGATTTCGCACCTTTGACGCAACTTGCCGTCGTATGTTTAGGTATTTTACAGCTGACGTAAAGCTTTGGTTATACTGTCATCTATCAGACGCCTACATTTTCCTGATAACGACGCAATATATAAAAAAAACCGCCAACCAAGCGTGGCAACTAAGGCAAATATCCTCCTTATGAGACAATCAAGGGCGAAGTATAAGTCCAACAATGGACTTTGATAAGATGTAACGAATAAATCAATGCATGCATTGTTTCATTCAAAATTCGCATGAGATCATCATCGCGCTGTGTAATCCAAAAACATGTTTTTTTTTTAATCTTTTCGTATTACTTTAACTTTAACTTAAAAAATAATAAAACAACTTTTCTATTGCGCATACTACTTTTAATTTTAAATTATACCCACAACGTTATAATCTTTAGGTTTGTCCGTGGTAAACATAACTCAATAACCAAGAAGAAGTTAGTGCTATACACGTCTACGTTTTGTATAGCAAAATAATTACTTTTGTGTATTTTTAACGTCTACAAAATTAAAAACTAATTGCGATTTATGGTCGAACAATTTACTTAATGGATTTATTCACTGCGAAGGACTTAGCTCACAAATTTCATTACGCTAAAAGCAAGGCACGGAAATACTCTTAAATTCTAAGTAGATAAAAAATTGTTGTAATTAAAGTTTGTTTCTCCTTGAGAAATTGTCCAAAAATAATTACGTAAGTAATAAATTAATTTAAAAAATCCTAATACTACATCAGATATTTTACGAAACCTTAAAGTGATTTTAATGTTATTTACTTCTGTTAAAATACACATTCAAGAAGGGTGCTTAGTGAGTAGAGGATAAATAAAAATATAAATCGCATTTTTACTCTTATATTTAACAGAATTTAAATATAAAATTAATGGTATTCCACTAAGCATTTCAGAAACGGTTAAGAATCTGGGCATCATCATGGATTGCAAGTTGACATGGAATGCACATATCACAGAAATTAGCAGGAAAATATATTATACTTTTCATTCCTTAAAATGCCTTCAACATTTTCTGCCGTTATCAACGAAGATTTCTCTTGTCCAAACACTTATTTTCCCGATTCTTGACTATGCTGATGTCTGTTATTTGGATGCGACTGAGGAGCAATTAAACAAACTTGAGCGCTTGCAAAACTTATGTATTCGTTATATTTTCGGACTAAAAAAGTATGACCACATCTCCTCCTATCGCAAACAGCTCAAGTGACTCCCAATCCGACTTCGCAGGAATACTCGAATCCTATGCCTCCTCTTTAACATACTATACAATCCAACATCACCACCCTATCTACGTGATCGATTCCACTTTGCGCACTCCCCCGATGCAGTTTGCAGATCACATTTAAAAACCCTCCTAAATTTCCCTTCCTCTAAAACTAAGTCCTATTCTCACTCTTTTACAGTACATGCAGTTAGGTTATGGAATTCTCTTCCTGCTGCAATTCGAGAGGCTCAATCAGTGTCCGTGTTCAAAAGGCGAGTCAAAGAGCACTATCTTTCTTTGTCGTCCCAATGATTATATATATAATATATTATTATATTTATATATGTTATATATACATACATATATACATATATATGTAGATGCATAGGAGTAGGATCATATGCCGTTATAACTAGTAAATAAATTACTGCAGACCACTAATAACTATATTTATTAACGCGTAAGTACAAGTTACACAAGAGTACAGAATAGTATTAGAAACATTGCTTATATAGGTAAAAATAATTAATAATAATCAAAATCGCAATATGTTGTTTATCTTAAACTACACACTGATTGGTCGTATACACAGCGAACACAATACATGCGCAAGCGGCTGTTGAACTCCACCCATGCCGCCATCGATGAGAACAATAGGTACACAAGCGGCCATCGAACTCTGCTGGCGCTACGACCAATGGGAACGCATGCGCCCTTATCAGCGGGCGTTGCTTAACGACGATGTAGGATATCGTCCGATGTATGACGTAGTGGTGGCATGATCTTTAGGTCCGTTCTAGCTACTAATTTACTCGCCACACTACTCCCCCGTTGAGACCGTAACTACGGGCGATAGTAATCCGGAAACCTTACTGTGCGTCCGCTTCGGGTCGTTTTGGTGGTAGTTTGACCATAGTCACTTGGGTTTTGTGGAATGGTCTCTGCGGTCTCTCTGGCAACATACGCTGGCTTTAGGCGGTCAATTGAGATCCTTTGAGTCCTGCCCTGGATTTCTACGTCGAATGTTTTGGAGTCACGTCTCACGACTTTGAAGGGACCTGAGTAGGGTGCCTCGAGTGGTCTTCTTGCGGGACCTTGGCGGACGAAGACATGCGTCGAAGTTCTGAGGTCTTTGGGCACATAAAATATTCGACTGGAACTACCATGCCAAGACGTAGGTTGTGGGGTCAATCTACTGACGTGCGCGCGTAGTCGACCAGCCACGGTGGTCGGGTCCATCTCCGTATTGGGATTTGGGGAAAAGAACTGTCCAGGCAAACGGAGTGGTTCACCGTAGACTAGCTCTGCTGCCGATGATTGCAAGTCCTCTTTCCAGGCGCTGCGGATACCGAGGAGGACCCATGGTAGGACTTCAACCCAGTTTGAAGACGAGTGGCAAGTGATGGCGGTCTTCAGTTGGCGGTGCAGTCGTTCCACTAGGCCATTGGCAGCTGGGTGATAAGATGTGGTAGTATGGTGTGTTGCACTGACCAGCGCGGCGAGCTCCTTGAAAGTGTGCGATAGAAACTGTCTGCCGCGATCTGTGGTGATGTGTTCTGGACATCCGAAGCGTGAAATCCATCCATTTGTTAGAGCGATGGTGCACGTCTCTGCTGTCATGTCCTGGAGTGGGTACGCCTCAGGCCAACGGGTGAAGCGGTCGACAATCGTGAGGCAGTACCTGTACCCAGAGCATAATGGTAATGGACCGATCAGGTCAAGATGTATATGCCGAAAGCGTGCTGAAGGTAGCATGAATGATGCGAGCGGTGCTGAAGTGTGACGAGCTACCTTGGATCGTTGACAGTGCTGGCACTCCTTTGCCCATTGCCTACAATCCCGCTTAATGCCAGGCCAGACGAACCTCTGCGTCGCCAGCTTGACAGTAGCCTTCGCTCCTGAATGACTCAAGTTATGTAGTGCGTTAAATACCTGTCTGCAGAACGAAGGTGTGATAAATGGCCGCGGATTCGGGGTGGAGGCGTCACAGTATATCTGCAGATCCTGTCCCGGTGTCCTAAGCTTCTCCAACTTCAGGGCAGAGCCGTTCTTCAGCAGATCATGTAGCTCGCTATCGGTGTCTTGCTCACTGGCTAGGGACTGGTAGTCTAAGGGCATAGAAATTTCATCAATGCGGGACAGAGTATCAGCGACTATATTATCCTTTCCGGCGATATATCTGATGTCCGTGGTAAACTGGCTGATGAAGTCAAGGTAGCGAAACTGGCGTGGCGAGCAACTCGTTCGGTGCGTTGTAAAAGCAAACGTCAGTGGCTTGTGGTCTGTTATAATCGCGAAATTTCGTGCTTCGACCATGAAGCGGAAGTGTTTGATGGCTTCATAGATGGAAAGAAGTTCGCGATCATAAGGGCTATACTTCCTCTGGCTTGGACTTAGCTTCTTGGAAAAGAATGCCAGTGGTTTCCATTCATTGTCCTGGTATTGCTGCAGGACTGCCCCTATTGCTGAATCTGAAGCATCTGTATGAATCGCCAACTCTGCTTGTGAATCAGGGTGTACCAATAGTGTGGCGCCAGAAAGACAATTCTTGCAGTTGTTAAATGCCTTCAACAGAGCGGGTGTCATGTTGATAGGTTGCGAACCTTTCGTCTTTGGGCCAGCAAGCATTTGGTTCAGTGGAGCTTGAATGGTAGCTGCATTTGGGATTAAGCGGCGATAAAAGTTTACCATTCCAAGAAAACGTCTGAGTTCCTTGACGGTTTTTGGTGGAGGGAATTCTGGAATAGCCTGCACCTTCGCATCCAGTGGCTGGATTCCCGCTGCTGAAACCTTATATCCTAGGAAGTCGACTTCAGACTGCCCAAAAACGCACTTGTTGGTGTTTATTAGAACGCCGTATTCCGTCAGTCTTTGGAAAAGTTGCCTGAGGTGTTGCTAATGCTGCGTGCTGTTGGAGCTGTATACCAGGATGTCATCCAAGTATCCAAAACAGAAGTCCGATCCCCGGAGAACCTCGTCCATGAAGCGCTGGAACGTTTGAGCGGCATTTCGGAGGCCGTAAGCCATGAACGGGAACTCATATAAGCCAAATGGTGTTGTTATTGCGGTTTTGCATACGTCAGCTTCAAAAACTGGTATCTGGTTGTAGGCTTTAACCAAATCCAATGTTGAGTAGACGGTACTTTCGGCCAGCTGGTGTGTAAAATCCTGCAAGTGTCTGATGGGGTACCTATCCGGGATTTTGCGTGCGTTCAATGAACGGTAATCACCGCAAGGTCTCCAGCCATCGTTCTTCTTGCGAGCTAAATGCAGTGGTGAAGACCAAGGGCTATCGGATCTGCGCGCCGTGCCGTTTTGTAGCATCTCATCGAACTCCTGCTTTGCAATCTTCAGGCGCTCAGGGTCTAAGCGACGCGGACGACCGGTTACTGGTGGACCCGGAGTAGTGCGGATGTAGTGTACCGTTGAATGCCTAATTAACTTTTGCTTACCAGCAGGACGAGTGAGGTCAGGAAACTCTCTCAGTAGACGATGGTAAGCGCAGTCGTCGATGGTTGTTCGAACAGATGAAATTGCCTCTGTTGAAGTATGACGTGGTACAGCAACTGTGAGCGACGTTACGCCATCGATGAGACGCTGGTTACGGCAATCGACTAGAAGGTTGTAGTAACCTAGAAAGTCGACGCCGATGATGGGTTTCGATACGTCGGCTACGGTGAATCGCCAAGTAAAAGCTCGTCGGAGTCCTAAGTCGATTGTTAATGGCAAGTAGCCATAAGTAGAGATAATTGTTCCGTTGGCTGCGAACAATTCGTACTTTGTCTTATTTCGTGGCTCCCGAACAGCGGATCGCGGAAAGACGCACAGGTCTGAACCTGTATCGATGAGATATTGCACCTTTGTTTTGCGGTCCGTAATGAACAGGCGGCTCGAAATCGCTAGGCAGTCGTTTACCGCCACTAATGGCTGCCTTGGTAGTTTCCCTTTTTCTGGTAGGTACAGGGTTGAGTACACTTCCGTGCTTTTTCACCAAACCGGTAGTGGTAGAAGCAATGCGGGTGATCGCTAGGACGTGAGCGTGAACGGGGGCGGTATTTTTTTCTTGAACCGTTAGAGCGTGAACGTGAACGCCTACGTAACTCCATACTCATTGCTTCCACTTTTTGGCTGAGCTCTGTCACTGTCCGCGTTAAGGCTTCAATGGTGTTATTAATTGGGGCCGTAGGTGTAGATGACGTACTAGCTACTTGCGCAAGTACTTGACTGTTGGCTAGCATAGTTGTAGGAACAACGTCATTGACACGGTCTGCAAGCTCGGCCAAGTCTTCGAGTGACATCTTCGTTTGCTGCGCGGCGATGCAGGTCTGCAGGTGTGTAGGAAGTCGGCTTGCCCACATTGTCCTGATGAACTCAGATGGTACATTTGCTCCAGCTAGGTGCTGCAAATGCCGAAGGAATTGCGTCGGCTTCTGTCTCCTATCTCCTCGTGCATTAACAGCTGTTTGATCTTTCGTTCCTGGGAAGCAGACAGTCTTTGTATCAGCTCCGCCTTCAAAGTATCAAACTTGTTTGCGGCCGGTGGGGAAACTATTAGGTCTCGTACTTCTGCTGCGTGTTGCGGTTCCAGCTGTGCCAGGACGTAGTAAAATTTCGTGGCGTCAGCGCTGATGCTGGACAACGTGAACTGCCCTTCCAGTTGCGCGAACCATAGTTCAGGGTCATCAGGGTTGAACGGGGGTATTCTTACTCCAACTCGGCAGGATTCTCCCACAACACCAGCCTTGGCACCTTCAGCTTGCATCTTCTTCGAGGTCTTGAATATCGGGGTCACCAGTGTAGATGCATAGGAGTAGGATCATATGCCGTTATAACTAGTAAATAAATTACTGCAGACCACTAATAACTATATTTATTAACGCGTAAGTACAAGTTAGACAAGAGTACAGAATAGTATTAGAAACATTGCTTATATAGGTAAAAATAATTAATAATAATCAAAATCGCAATATGTTGTTTATCTTAAACTACACACTGATTGGTCGTATACACAGCGAACACAATACATGCAAAGCGGCCGTTGAAATCCGCCCATGCCGCCATCGATGAGAACAATAGGTACACAAGCGGCCATCGAACTCTGCTGGCGCTACGACCAATGGGAACGCATGCGCCCTTATCAGCGGGCGTTGCTTAACGACGACGTAGGATATCGTCCGATGTATGACGTAGTGGTGGCATGATCTTTAGGTCCGTTCTAGCTACTAATTTACTCGCCACATATATATATATATATATATAATATATATATATATATATATATATATATATATATATATATATATGTATGTGTGTATATGTATTTATAGTAGTATTTAGTTATATGTATGTTTACATACATACTTTATGTTAAGTATATTTATATTATAAAATTTTATTATGAGAGTGCACACTAGATCAGCTTCCCTTTTAATTTGTCCAGTATCAGGCCTGCTGGAAGAAATTTCAATATGAAATAAGCAGTGCCTTTGTACAAAATATCTTTTTTTTTCTCTTCCTTGTAACATTATTTTGTGTGTACATAAATTGTTAAATAAATAAATAAAATAAAAGCTGTAGTGGCAAATATACCAACTTTTAACTTCACTCGAAGTCACTCAGGTACTATAATTCTGTCCAGCGCAGATGGCTAGTCTCCGTTGAGGTTGGCCGTCGTGACCGAAATTTAGTCTCGGTTGGCGTAGGAGCAAGCAGCACAGGATTCGCGTCAGATGGCTAGATTGTTCATTATGTGTGTTGTGTTGTGAAATATATAACTGTCTGACAGTGAGTTAGTTGCTTATTCCGGTGAAGGATTAAACCATCAGGTACTTTGCCACCACAACTACACTTACAAAATTTATTCTAAAAAGAGTGTAAAGTTTACTATAACAGTAGCTCTTGTTTCGCATCCGTGTAACACCCACCCTAGATTGGTGACGAAGGCTACAGCATCGGACGACTTGCCCTTCTTCAGTCTACTTGTTACTGTTCCCCAGTTGTCTTGGCCTCTCAACAGCTTGAGTCTTTCAGTGACGTAGTGAATTTGTCTTTCAATTGCCCTCAGATGCTGACAGTTCTTCATGGTGTCCTTATTCATGCATTATTCGGATACCTTCAGAACGTCGATGTTTTTTGCTACGATAGTTCTCTTTACTCTTCTATGAGCTCATTTTATCATGAACTCGATCTTTTGTGAACTATATTTAACACCTTTCCGCCGACTGTTTCAATTGTGAGTTTTTCTTACTTCAATTCGACTCCAAACTTCTTATCAAGTAATGCATCTAAGAGTGTGACGGTTGATCCTTCATCCAACAATGCCAATACGCGAACATGACCCTTTGGTCCATAAAAGTCCACTCTTCTGGTCTTCTTTATTTGCTTCCTTCTCCACTGGTACTAGTGGTTTGTGCAAATGCAGGATGATATGGTGCCATGTTTTGCCCTTTTCGCAGACTGGAGCTTTGCAGTTGATTCTTGAGTGCTTGAATCGAAGACACTTGAAGCAACCTTCGCCTTCTTAATCATGTCCCATTTTTCATTTAGATTAGCTTTCTTAAACTTCTTGCTTTCTATTGCAAAATGCCCTTCTTCACAAATAGGACATGACTTCTTCTATCTTTATTGTGACGCTTCTTGTACCGTATGTACGGGTTTTCTTATTTCCTTCTTTTGCTCTGCAGGTGCTTCAGCTTCTACCTGAAGCACCTGTCGTAAAAGTCTCCGCACATGTCGGCTTCTGTTTCTATAAACGCTTCCACGAGTAACAGTTCTTGAATTCCTTCATCTCTTCTGCTTCTGTGGTAAGCGAACAAACGTAACTTCATGTATGTTGACATCTTGTTTGCTATAGCTTTCAGTGTTTCAGGAGAACTGGAGTACTGCGGTTTCTTCAAGGCCTTGATCGTCTCGACGGCGTTATTCTCTTTGCTTGCGAATACGCATATGTCTCTTGGGTTCTCGTCAACTTTGGACAGGTTCTTCATCTTCCCTAGTTCTGCTAATGCCAGCACTCCAGTTCTACCAAATATTGCTTCCAGTCTCTTGCTTATTTCGCGTGGGTTTTCCGAAGTGAACAGCAGGCTTTAGACGGCTTCTTTAGCCTTTCCTTGAATTGCTTTTCTAAGGCACGCCAGGTTCTGACTGTTACTAAGGGAAGCGGCCATGTCTTCATATGATCTGTTGAAGGCTAGACATTCTTTACAGAACCCGTTAAGGTTAGGGAATTGAAGGTGCATCGATGAATCGATGTCACGTGGCTTTTCATATAACTTGAGTATGACTGAAGCCATCACCTGGATATCGCTCTTCTTTTCTTATGTCTCGATCGGCCTCTGATTTTTATCAGGCGTGACCCCGGTCAGGATGAACCACTTCTCGAGTTCGTTCGAACAGCTCTTTTTCGGCACAATCTTCTTCTTGTTCTGAAGTTCTAGTTCAGCTCGAGATACTTTTAATCGCGTTTCCACTATCTTCTGATGCGATGAGGGAACAGAACGTGTGTATATATCGCGTGTCGACATCTAAGGGTGAGATCACTGCAGACTCTCTTCTCTGAACGTTGATATCCTTCCATCGTTCAGACACGTCTTTATCGCAACCCTTCTTTCTTGTATCTGCTGCTCTAAATGACTCTCTTCTTGGTATGCGGGATTTTATGCTTGGATAGTGCGAGTCCCAGTTTCTTGATACCCGATCTGGCGCGAAAAAAAAAATTTTTTGACGCGGTACGTTTGTGGAACGGGTTTGCTGGCGGGATGATAATTGGAGAGAGCGCGGTAATAGCAAGGTGTCAAATAACGCTTCTTCGGTTTTCATAGTTTTTTCTTATTTATTTTCCTTTTTCTTGTTATTCCACTGTTGAACTCATAATGCCTGACCACGGTTTTTTTTGCGCCCAGATGCAATGGAAAGGGCTACCTTCCAGGAAGCGGGTAAGGGAGGTGGTGGATGCTCTAAGGATACCACGACAGCCGGCTGCCGTGGTTATATGGAACTCACTGCGAAAACCTAAGTGCCTACCCACTAAATACCACCTGTGAGACTGGCATTGGCTTTTGGTGGCCTTTCTGCCGAATCGGAAGTGACCCTCTTTAGGGAAAAGAGGGCGCAGGCAGCGAGGAGCCGCTGAGAGGGAAGCCTAACTAAGGCAAATTAAGGTTGGGCCTGACCACGGGAAAGTACTCTTCTTTTATAATAGACAGCTCTGACCAATTAGATCCCTTCAATTTTGCACACGGCACTAGTCATTTTAACTCGACCAATCAGAGTGCAGAGAGTTGGCACACGGCACTAAAAACCCTTTTGTATGGGAATACATGCGTGCACAATATGAATTTATTTTTTAACTAAACCAGTTTTTGTTTAATAAAAACCAATTTGTTGACGAAGGAGTTGAACTGTATTTATCAGCTAACGTTTTTATACAGGAAGTCCCAAAAGTCGACGTCAAGCCGGAATCGGGTGATAGGACAAGTCATAATAGTTAACAGAAAATATATACTCTTAATAAAATCTTAGTCATGTATTTTATAAATTACAGTTTTTTTTTATTTTGAAAAATGTACATTCTGTGATGGTTTTTTAGCTCCTTTAGTTACAAATCTTTACTTTTTCTCAATTTTTTTTGTGTAAACATGGGTAGTACTTGTGTAACCTGTTGTTTTAAATTCATAGCTAACTGCTCCAACTTAGAGGTAAATGTCACATTTATCCGAACCAAGAATAAAAAATTAATACTTCGCCCAACTTTAACTGGCTGTACTAAAAAACATATGTATTAGGCCAGTTCAGCAAGTAACCTTAAAAGTTGACGCATTTAATAAGGATTTTAAGATATTATAGCACTTGCTTCATAATTTCTCAGATCATAGGAAAAAAAAAACTTTTCTTCAAGAATCAAAGTTTAAAAAAAATATTTTATCTACTAAAAATGATTTTAGTGTAAGCAAAGCTTGCTCGCGTGTGTGCGTGTGTGCGTGTGTGTGCGTGTGCGTGTATGAGCGTGTGCGCGTGGCGCGTGTGCGCGTGTGCGCGTGTGCGCGTGCGTTCGTGTCTGCGTGTGTGCGTGTGAAAGTGTGTACGTGTGTGCGTGTGCGCGTGTATATATATACATATAATACTTCAGTTTTAAAGGTTTCTTTCTTTTTTTAAAAATATCAATGTTTGCAAAAAATTGGTTATAAGTGCAACACATCCGATTTATTGGTGAGTTTGTGCTATATTTTGTTTTTGTTCCTCCTGCATTTTCTCCACTTCTTCATCGGGATGTTCCGAGGTTGGTGAGTAAACCTGTATGGCCGTCAGCGAATAATGCTTGGTGGTTCTGAGTATAAGGTACGCAACCCTCGTCGACACACTCTCAATCTTTACAAAGTTGCTAACGAGAGACTTGTGGACGATTAATCTGACACCTTGGTACAGATGGTCGCCCTCCTAGTGATAGAACAACTTACCATGTTTCCCCCTCTCTTCAGACCTCGGATAATCCCATAATATTCCAACGCAACTTGTCTATCTCTTCTTCTACCTCCAGGACCTTCTTGTTAGTGCTGAGGGTGCGCGCATTATATGTTGCCATTTCGAGTCGTCTTAGATGGAAACTGTACCACCACCGGTGATTCTTAGTACCCCCTGCCCCGAAGTTATCATGGTCGCCACCGTAGCCAGTAATAGCGGGGCCGCCGGCTACTGGGGGCCGTCTATTCGTAACTTTAATCATGGGAGGTATATTGCCATAGTTGCCACGCATTGCTAGCGGATTGGCAACCACAGCTTTTTATTGTAACAGCAAAACATGTTATAAGAAAGATGCTGCTGCCCATCTTCTCTCTCAGCTTCCCTCTGTCGCCACTTACGACACCCATGGGAAGATATGGAGTACTGGGTATTCTTACCCGCTATTACACGGGGAAT